AACCATCTCTTCATGTTTGTTAGTATATCTTTTTTGGGAGAAATGTCTCTTAAAGCCCTAGTTATTTTGTTGAGAATTGAACCCAGGGCCCAATACATGTGTATGTCCTGTCACATATAGTCCATCTGGGATATTTGTCTTCACTTCTTTTAACCTAGTTTAAGACCTCGAAATAGTCTTCCTCGCTAATACTAATAGTCTTAGTTTGTCTTTATTGTTGTCCTGAGACTCTTGATAGTGAGAGTAATCAGACTATTGAGACTGAGTCTGGGTAGCGTTTATTTATGTTTTGTTCCTTGAACTTACTGTGTAGAGGAGGTTGACCTTGAATTTCTAATCTTGCTTCTTTACAACTGCTGGGATTATAGGTGTTTACTGCTTCTGGTTTTGTACAGTCTGGGGATTGGACCTAAGGCTTCCAGAATAGTAGGCAGTGCCATGATTGTGAAGATGGTTTTCCATGGCTCTCCAGATGTGCTAACCCTGCAGCTTCCCCAGATGTGGGAAAGTGGACTGCATAGTTTGTCGTAGTGGGGGCTGTTCTTGTTCTCCCCTGAAAGGGAAAACTGTTTGGCAAGTACTCTGCTAAATGAATCACATTTCTAGTTCCTCAGCACCCTGTTTGAGGCAGTCTTAAGTAGCCCAGGCAAGCCTTGAACTTGCTGGCTTCCTGGCTCCACCTCAACTGCTGGGATTCATCTGGAGGTTCAAAGCATAGTTCTGGAGGAGTTGGTTTAGCTCTGGTGGGGACTCCTGGTGTATGACTTTACAATGGTAGAAAGGCTTGGGAGGGAGAGAGCACTGCTGGAAAACTACCTAACCCTTCCAAAGGCAAAGCCACCACAACCTAAGAATCGCTCCCTCCCTCCCTCCCTCCCTCCCTCCCTCCCTCCCTCCCTCCTTCCCTCCTCTCCCCTCCCTCCCCTCCCTCACTTCCCCTCCCCTCCCATCCTTCCCTCCCTCCCTCCCCTCCCCTCCCATCCTTCCCTCCCTCCCCTCCCTCCCTCATTCCATCTCTCCTTCCATCTCTCCTTCCCTCCCCTCCCTCCCTCCTTCCTTCTGCAGGACTGGGCTTTGTAGCTGAGCAGCAGTGCACTGCCTTTCAACTCCTCACAGGTTGTGGGGGCTAACGAGAAAGTCCCATGTGCAGAGATTTCTGTGATCCCTTCTGAGAAACCTAACTATCCTGCCACTATTAGGCAATTGAGTGTTACCTCCAGTCGGTACCAAAGATAGTTTTCTAATTATTTTCAAAAGAAGATGGCATTTTCCTGGCACACATCGTTCTTTGCTTCTGCAGTGCTAAATTGGATATCAGAATAGAATTTGGAAAGAAGAGTTCTGCCTTTTGCCTTTGACTACTATAACTTTCTTTTAAGAATAATGTAGGACTTGTCACACAAATATGCATACTTAATCTTTGGAGGAGGAGAGTTCTCTTGTTGGCAACAAATAATTGCATGGGTCAGTTACCTGCCTGGTCTCAAGTAGAGAGGCATGGAGTCTATGATGATGACAGTAGAGGACATGGGGTCTGTGATGACAGTAGAGGACATGGGGTCTGTGATGATGACAGTAGAGGACATGGGGTCTGTGATGATGACAGTAGAGGACATGGGGTCTGTGATGACAGTAGAGGACATGGGGTCTGTGATGATGACAGTAGAGGACATGGGGTCTGTGATGACAGTAGAGGACATGGGGTCTGTGATGATGACAGTAGAGGACATGGGGTCTGTGATGATGACAGTAGAGGACATGGGGTCTGTGATGACAGTAGAGGACATGGGGTCTGAGATGACAGTAGAGGACATGGGGTCTGTGATGACAGTAGAGGACATGGGGTCTGTGATGACAGTAGAGGACATGGGGTCTGTGATGACAGTAGAGGACATGGGGTCTGTGATGACAGTAGAGGACATGGGGTCTGTGATGACAGTAGAGGACATGGGGTCTGTGATGATGACAGTAGAGGACATGGGGTCTGTGATGACAGTAGAGGACATGGGGTCTGTGATGACAGTAGAGGACATGGGGTCTGTGATGATGACAGTAGAGGACATGGGGTCTGTGATGATGACAGTAGAGGACATGGGGTCTGTGATGATGACAGTAGAGGACATGGGGTCTGTGATGACAGTAGAGGACCTGGGGTCTGTGATGACAGTAGAGGACATGGGGTCTGTGATGATGACAGTAGAGGACATGGGGTCTGTGATGACAGTAGAGGACATGGGGTCTGTGATGACAGTAGAAGACATGGGGTCTGTGATGACAGTAGAGGACATGGGGTCTGTGATGACAGTAGAGGACATGGGGTCTGTGATGACAGTAGAGGACATGGGGTCTGAGATGACAGTAGAGGACATGGGGTCTGTGATGATGACAGTAGAGGACATGGGGTCTGTGATGACAGTAGAGGACATGGGGTCTGTGATGACAGTAGAGGACATGGGGTCTGTGATGATGACAGTAGAGGACATGGGGTCTGTGATGATGACAGTAGAGGACATGGGGTCTGTGATGACAGTAGAGGACCTGGGGTCTGTGATGACAGTAGAGGACATGGGGTCTGTGATGATGACAGTAGAGGACATGGGGTCTGTGATGAGGACAGTAGAGGGGCATTACAGAGTAATCTAATGAGCCATCAGCCAAACAGCAGCCAGATAGGGAATCATTAGAGGAGCTGATTGAGCCAGACATTGAGAAATCGATGCACTCATTTAACATACACACATGTATATTTTAAAATGCAAATTTTAAAGGGCCTCAAAACATTGTTTTAAAAAAAGAACATATGATTAAACTTGGGATTCTGTGTAAAAAAAAAATTGAACAAGTGATTTTTCTGCTTTTAAGGTACACAAAAGAAAGAATAAAAAAAAAGAAAGAATAATATCTAATTTACTGCTTAGTTATTGGATGGCATTCTGCTGCTAAGGAAACAAAGTTGTTAGTAAATACCTCAATTTTAATGAAACTGGCTGAAGGTATATGATTATGCTTCTAATTTTAGTATTTGCCATGGTGGTTTTATTCTACCATTAAAAGCTTTAAAGAAAATCTGCTGTGTATTTGAGTGTTGTTCTTTCTTATGTTGTCAGTAGTGGGGTATGTTAATAGTTGGGAATACTAGTCCTCTAAATCACTGGCACAATTACTGTCAGTCTCATCTAAGAAATTATTTCTAAGAATATATTGAGGTGCTAATTAGACATGATCTAAAGTCATTATGGGTGTTCTTTGATTCGTAGACATCAGTTGCAAAACAGCAACAAACCCCTCACAAAATGTGCAGGTAGCAGCACCCACGGTGTCCAGAGAATAGCAGTGTCTACTTCAGAGTGTGTGCAGGGCCTGAGTGAAATGGTTTGTTAGTCTTTGTGCTGTGTTCTGCCAGATAAATAGGTCCTAAATATGTAGAATATTGATTTTTAATTCTTTTCTTATTTTGTTATTCTAAAGTGTCTTCCAGGCCTGGCATGATGGCTCCCAGCTGTCGTCCTGGCCTGGTCAAGGAGTTGTCATGAGTCTGAGGCTAGCCTACATACATAGAGTTACAGGCTGGTTGTGTGCAGCGTGAGACCCCTGTTGGAAAACCACTAAAACAAAAAAACCTCACTCAAATTCCTGGTATATAATGTAGAAAATTTTTGTTATGTATTTTTGGCAAATGATGGGACTTAATTTGTTTTCACGTTAGTGTGTTTCTTCAGGACTTACCAGCAGCTTCAGTCTTAAGTGTTGTTTTTTTCCCGTTAAGTCATTGTAAGCACCAAATAATTTGAGTTCTTACCCATTTTTGTTATAGTCATCTTTCAGGCTGCTGGTGTAATTTTTTAAAAAATGTTTTTGAAGAAGCTCGGGAGATGGTTCATTAGGTAAAATATTTGCCTCGCAAGCCTAAGGACCTGTGTTTGATCTCTGGAACCCATTTTTTTTTTTTTTTTTTTAAAGGCAGCTCAATCTGTGACTTGCTTGGAATCCTAGTGCTGGGGAGGCAGAGATAGGTGGGTGGATCTTCTGAGCTTGCTCGCTAGTCAGCCTAACCTACGTGCTGGGTTCCAGATGATGTAAGAGGCCCTGTCTGGGGCTGTGCGGACAGCTGGTGACTGTTCCCAAGGTCGCCCACTGCTTTCATATGCATACACACAGATGTTTTGGGGAGAGATTAGAAATAGGGGCTGGAGGAATAAATCAGTGGTAGTCACCAGTAGGCTGGGAGTTTGTTGATCAACTGTATAGAAGTCAGGAGTAGGCAAGTGAGGTTTGTTTAGGGTTAGCAGCTCCAAGTGTTAGTGGTACAGCTCTCAGTGTTACTGTATCCCCTGAGTGCTGACAGCTCAGCTCCCTGCCACTGTGGTGACTGCTTAGCAGCCAGCTCCTGTAGCCTTGACACAGTCCGCTGCTGCTCCTTCACCCTCCCAGTCTCAGGTCTTTGTAGACCTTCTGTCTTTCCTGATTGCTCTCCAGGGTTCATCCATTCTAGCTGGGGGGTGTGCTTAGAGCTAATTGCCCCCCTGGTGTTATCTGCTCTTCCTGTAACCAGCTCAGCCTGTTCTAACTGCACTAAAAGATGAGTAGTTCCTAAAACCTGTAAGGTCACTGAACTAAGTCTTGTTGGGGTCTGTGACACAGTACAGGAAGGCAGTGCACGCACACAAGGCATGGCTCCCAGACTGAAGCATTTGAGGGGACGGCTGGTTATATAGGCAGCCATGCATGTAGTCGTACATCTGTCTGCTAGGCACACACTTTTTGCACAGTCATACTAGGCTGCACAGGAGTACTTGGTTTGCCTGTCCTATCTCTTGTGAGTCAGGGAGGTGGCGGGGTGTGGGAATAAAAGCTTTTACAAGGGGTGGGGTGGAGGGCAAAGTTTCCTAGGGGTTTGGCAGCACATCTGGAGTGGTTGTGGCTGCAGCAGTCTCTGAGGCAGTGGCTGATAGAGACGCTGTTGAAGCAGCAGCAGTGACTTCTGTAGCTGTTACTGTACTTTCTGTGGCCGTAGTAAGACTCCGTAGGATGGCTGCGTCTGACAGTCTTTCTGAGTGGCTGCGAGAGGTTTAGAGCATCCATTGCTGGCTGTGATGAGGACAGCTCAATGGATCAACAAAGAAGTAATTATTTAGGGCTCAGTGAGTGGAGAAAGGGGCTTGTTATCAAGCCTGACAACTGGAGTTCAGATGCCTGGATCCAGGTGCATGGTGAAGAGAGAACTGAGCCTGGCCTCTGAGTGAGTGAGTGTGTGTGTGTGTGTGTGTGTGTGTGTGTCTGGGTGCGAGCGCACACCTGATTATTTGATGGAAGTTCATGTGGCTTCTGCAGAAGTGGCCGAGTTGAAAAGGTAGTTGCTGCTGCCTTTGATGAGACCTTAGAAATGGCAGTGCCACTGTGTTCAGCTTTTTGTCACCTTGAGTCATCTGGGAAGAGTGAGCCTCTGTTGAGAAAGTGCCTCCATCAGATCGGCCTGCATGTAAGTATGCGGGGCATTTTCTTCTATACATTTTTATTTTATTTTATTTTTTTTCTTTTAATCACTGCTTGGCCCATTCTCTTCTAGGCTAATTCTCACATATTAATTTAACCCATTTCTAATCATCTGTGTGTAGCACCCCAAGATGCGCTTACCGGAGAGATTCTAGCCTAGTCCATCCTGGGTCGGAGCTTCATCCCGGGAGCGGGGCATGGCGTCTCTCTCTGAGGAGTCTGCTCCCGAGAGAGCTGTGGAGTCTCTGAGCTCACTTCCTCTTCCTCCCAGCATTTTGTTCTGTTTACTCCTCCCACCTATCCTCTAACCAATAAAATGGGCCAGGGCAGTGCCTTTATTAGCCAATGACCTTCCTCCATCATTTCCCCTTTTTTGGTTTAAACAAAAAAAAAAAAAGGCTTTAACATAGCAAAATTACATATAACAAAACAGTTATCAAGTAAAAGTTACAATAATCTTTATCATAACTAAGGAAAACTATAACTATAACTAACTATTCTTAACTCCATCAAAGACTCCAGAAAGATATATTACCTAAGTAAACAAGAACTAAGAAACTTCAAACTCTAGAAATGACAAAGACATCTCGCTGCCTGGACAGTCACCCAAAGTTCTTTTGTACCGTTGGGGCATCCATCTTCAGCCTTCAGGCCCATGGTATCCAGCAGACATTTCCATAAAGCAGGAAAATTCAAAGTCAATTCAGTCACTATCTGTTGTGTCCTGCAGAATGTCTCGCAGACTCTTTCAAAATGAATCAGGAACCCCGAAAGATCATCTCACCTTAGGCAAGTTCAGTAGTCCTCTCTCTGTGGGTTCTCTGTGTCCAGTTTATGCAATAGTCCAGGCAAGAGCAGTTTCTTGCCCAAATGGCTATCAAACTCCATAAGGATCCTCTTCGATGCCCATCTTCCTCTTGAAGTAGATTGGTGCTGACAGGAGCAGAGTGTCTCATTGTCATGAAAAGTCCTCAGTTATTAAAACATTAAATGTCCTATTCTGTAATCTTTGAAAGACATGAAGAATGTCTATCTAAAATATATCTCTATATATCTAGAAAATCTAACTAACATGACTACAAGCTTTACTATTATCGATGATTATCCATTAACAGCCTATATTTCTTAATTATACAGTACATATTTAAATGAACTACACAATCACAATACCTTAATCAAAATCAGAAACACTTATACATATAACAAAATTGACCGTAAATCTCTATCAATAAAGCAAAATCTATACTAATGCAAATTATTCATACCTATATCATATCCCCCTTTAAATGTAAAAGAACGTTTATAAACCATATTTGGGAACATGGGCGCAGTTTTTTCTCTCCAAACTGCTTCCTGCTGAATGGGGGCGTTGTTAATTAGGTCTTTCACGGTATAACCTGTGTGTTAGCTTCATCTCAGTTGGCAGTTGAGCAAAGCAATTTTCTGAAGGTGTTCACACCAACCCTTCAGGAGGGCGTGGTCCATCATACCAAATCGGAATAGAAGAAATGAACAGCGTCTCATCCTCTGTGAAAACAAAATAAGAAACTCTTTTCCAAAGTATCATATCCTTAGATCCAAATTTTGAAATCATACCCTCATGATATCCGTTCTGGTTCCACTTGGCAGCCCATATAATGAAATGTCTCTCTGTACTTAGCTCCTTCACAGTCAAAAAATTTAAAGAAAACACAATGTACATAATCCAGACTCTCTGTGAATTTTCCATTTTTACGTGGCTTATTTTTTACTCTATCACTTTACTTTATTCTGTCTCTTTAAAGACTTTACCTTTTTTTTTTAACATTAACTTTATTTTCTATATTTTTTTTTCTTCTCTCTCTCAAGCCCACGTACATTCATCCAACAGTGCGACTCCTTTAGTGGTCTGAATCTGTCCTATTGTGAATCAATTTTTTACTATCCAGGAGCACTTTTGATTTGCGCCTTTAAATCACTAGGCGCTTAAGAATCTAAGCTTTGACATTCCTAGGTTAACTTTTTGCTTTTTGAGCATATATCTTTGACCTGGAATAACCCTGTAGACCAGGCTGTCTTTGAACTCTCAGAGATCCGCCTGTCTCTGCCTCCCAGGCATTGGGATTAAAGGTGTAAACTACTACACCTTGAACTCACAGAGATCTGTTTGCCTCTGCCTTCTAGGCACTGGGATTAAAGGCGTGTGCTACCACACACAACCACTCTCTTCCTTTTTTTTTGTTTTTTACTTTAAAAACTTCAACTTTTAGTCTGCATATATTTTTAACACACTTTAAACCATTCAGAAATTTTCTCTGTCTTTGAATCTCTCTTTACTGTATATCTCTCTTTTTCTGACCACATGAGCCTTTAATTTACCAAGCAATATCAGTAGGATTAAAGGCGTGGCTTTGCCGGCTGGATCCAGCCCATTCCTTAGCTTTCCAGCCTCATGGCTGAGGTACTGGCTGTAGCCAGCAAGCCAGCTTCAGCAGCCTGTGCTTGCAAACCGCACAAACCGCCTGCGTAAAAGAGTCAGAGTTTGTCCTGGCAGGACAGCCCAGAAAGCCGGCATTTTTAAACGGCGCAGCTTTTTTCCTGCTACGGCTGAAAACCGAAAAGCATGTGTTCAGCTTTTCGTCAACACCATTTAAGTGTTTCGTGGCAGGACCTCTTAATGAGCTGCAGGCTTTGCAGCTAAATCTGAGTCAGGAAGCCTCTCTTAGATGAGGCGCTTGCTTGCCTCTGGCAAGCAGAGCAGACCCGAAACACAGAGAGTCTAGTTGCCATCAAACAAATCGTAGCACTTTACTCCAAATGCTCTATTCAAAAGTTCTGTCTCCCGCAGGAGCCAGACAGAGATCGCAATGGCAGCACAGCCCCAGGAAGTCGCACTTTAAAATGACACAGCGTTTTTTCTGCTACTGTTGCCGAATCAGGAAATCTCTCTACAGCACACCACCAACAAACAGCAAAAATCTGTGTTAAACTCTCTCTCCCTTATTTTTAAGCCTTCTCAGGTTTTTTAAATGGGTTTAGTTGTCCACACGTCTGGGCGCCAACTGTAGTAATAAGGGCAGCGGCGGAGCTGCGTCCCCAACACCCCGGCCGCCTGCCCAGCTAGCTTATGCCCCGAAATAATTACACGGACACTGTAGTCTTTTAATCACTGCTTGGCCCATTCTCTTCTAGGCTAATTCTCACATATTAATTTAACCCATTTCTAATCATCTGTGTGTAGCACCCCAAGATGCGCTTACCGGAGAGATTCTAGCCTAGTCCATCCTGGGTCGGAGCTTCATCCCGGGAGCGGGGCATGGCGTCTCTCTCTGAGGAGTCTGCTCCCGAGAGAGCTGTGGAGTCTCTCTTCTATACATTTTTAAATTTTATGTATTTGGGTGTTGGCCTCCTTGTTGTGTCTATGCACCAGTCCTGTGTCCAGTGCTTGTGCAGGCCAAAGGAGGGCGTCAGAAGCAGTTACAGACAGTTGTGAGCTGCTGTGTGGGTGCTGGGAATTAAAACTAGGTTCTCTGGAAGAGTAGCCAGTAGATTTAACCTGGGTCATCTCTCCAATTCATATAGTTGAGATAGGTGAACAGCGTCAAAAACAATTGCTTAATGCTTTAGATTTCATATAAGGGAGAGAGTGAAGTTAGGAAAATAGCTCGTTTCCTGAGGGTTACAGAAGTAGCATACATCAGACCAGACTTTTGGTCTTCTGTTGTTTCCTGGGGTCCTCGGTCCATTTCTGCTCTCGCTAACTATCTGAAGTGAAGTCCTCGAGCTGCAGCTCCTAGTATCCTGACAGGCTTTCGCTGACACTGCTTCTGCAAAGCAGCCTTTTGAAAATGGTATCTCACATGTAGCATCCAATGCATATAAGTTTACAAATTATAGAAGGAAATAAAATATGATCTTCCAACTCTGTTTTTAAAAACTGGCCTTATTTGTGTCTTGAAAAAGGAAGCCTTTTTCCGATACTGCTTTTTAAGTAGTAAGTTTTTACTGTGTAAAGGAGAAAGGGCACTTCATCTGCAGAAGGGCCAGTTGTTCCTTTGTCCTAATAGCTAATTCCAAGATAGTTAAATGTGATCTCCACCCATTTCGTTAGGCTACAGCCTTTGCTCTCCTGAACTTAAGACTGATTATTCAAAATTGCTTTGTGTGTGCTTTGGCACAGCATGAAGGGACCCTAATAACAACTGCCATTATGTTTTACACAGCTTGTAGTTACTTCTACAAATAAAAGGGCACAACAGGAGAGCATGGCAGGTCAAAGTTCTGCTCCCAGTGTTAGATAAAATCTGTTCTACACTTCGATGCCTTTGTGTTTCCCTTGCGACCTACCTACTGTATTTTCTGTTCCTTGTTAACTAAAATGTGTTTGTGACTCACTCAAACCTTAACATGTGTGCAGTATATCTAACCATATTGACATTTTTCTTTTTCTTTCCTTTTTATCTTGTAAGATGAGGCCTTACTGTGTTGCCCAGACTGGCTTCACTCTCCCTTTGAATTCTTTTCACAGTGGTAAGCGAAGCAAAATGTGCGACTTAGTATGTTTGAACAGCTAAGCACTTAAATAATTGTGCATGACTCTCGTCCATCAAATGTTTGTTTACTTTTATCTCGTTTAGAGTATACACTTTGGGGTAGAGCTTGTTTTCCTTTCCTTTCCTTTCTCTTTTTCTTTCTTTTTTTAAGACCGTTTTGCTATGTAGCTCTCTTTTCTACTGCTGTGAAGAGACACCATGATCAAGCCAACTTATAAAAGAAAGCATTTAATTGGAGGCTTACTTAGAGTTTCAGATGGTGAGTCCATGAACATTGTGGCAGGAAGCATGGCAGCAGGCAGAGAGGCACGGTGCTGGGGCAGGAGCAGAGAACTTACCTATGCACAGGCAGCGGGCAAAGAGAGGCAGGGTCTGTCCTGGGCTTTTGAAACCTCAATGCCCAGTAATACACCTCCTCCAAAAAGGTCACACCTCCTAATCCAGTGATTTTCTT